GAGAAGCACATGGCTGCCGACTTTGACCCTCGCGCCTCCTACCTGGAGTCCGAGAAGAATTACAATCCCAGCGAGGTAGGGGAAGCGGACGTGGAGGAAGAAGAAGAGGAAGAGGAGGAGGAGGACGAAGGAGGCAGGCGGAGGAGGAGGAGAGAAACCGAAGGGGCTCCGGAGCTGGAGCGAGAGGGGAGCGTGGCGGCCAGCTCCATGGCGGAGTCGCAATCCAAAGCCGCCGGCGAGGAGTTCGAGGTCCGCTCCGAGTACAGCGACAAGCTGCCGCTGGGCGCCGAGGCCGTCACCATCTCCCAAGAGATCAACGGCAACTACCGGCAGCGCCCCCGCTGAGCCCCCCCGCACCCCCTCCAACCCCCCCCCCCCCCCGCCCCCGCTCCCCACCTCCCCCGGACCCCCCCCGGGGCACCACCGCTGCTTCTTCACCGAGGAAAGACCGAAGCATCCTCAGCGACGCCCGCCTCTTCTTCCTCCTCTTCTTCCTCCCTCAGGCGGCAGGTCCCTGGGGAAGGGGCTTGGCCCCGGGGTTGCTCGGTGCGGGCGGGACGTTTCTGCCCCGATTTCGTTTCCGTTTTGGGTACCGGCCGTCCTCACTCCCGGCTCGGCGACAACATCACAACGATTCCCGGTCCCCCGCCCGCCTCTGCCCTCCGCTCGCTCCGTCTTTTTTTTCCCCTTAAAGGAAAAAAACGAAAAAAAAAGAGGAAAAGAAAAGAAAAAAAAAAAGTGTGTGTGTAGGGGGGGGCAAAAGAGAAAAGCCCGCTATCCGAAAACCTTTTTTTTCTGGAAACGGTTCAGTCCGCGGTGAGTCCCCTCCGCTCCCCGGTCCGGTCCCGCCGAGCCCCGGTGCGAAGCCGGTGCTGTCCCCAGGGCTGCTCGGCGTTATCCTCCCCCCTCCCCGGTGGGTCCCCGCCGCTCCCCGCTGGGTGCCCGTGGCGCTCCGGTTCATCCCGATTTCCCCCGCTGGGTGCCGGGGCTCCTCGGTGCCCTCCCCGCCGGTCCCCGCGGAGCCCTTCAGCACCCGGCGGGAGCGGCTCGACCCACCCCTCCTCCCCCCACCCCCCACCCCCCAAGTCCCATCCTGACCCCCCCCAGCCCGGCGGGGCCCCCCTCGATGTGTTTTGGGTAGAGTAGCCTTGTAGCCAAGTGTCTGTGCCGTAGACGCGCCCGTGCTGCTGGCGGGCGGAGGGGGGGGGGGGGGGGGGGGGAGGGCCCGATCCCGGGAGGCAAGGGGCCGCCGCCACCGTGTGTGTGTCCCCCCCCCCCCAAAACTCCAGTCCCCGGGAGCCCCCGAGAGCCGCGGGCGCCTTTCTGCGAGCTTCTGTCTGTGAAAGAGTCAATAAAAGGGATTGAAAGTGGAGCCGGGTCCGTGCTTGATGGGGGCAGGTTGCGCCGGGTCCCCCCCCCCCGCTGCCCCCGGGGTCTGTCCAGTACAGCCCAGTACAGCCCAGTACAGCCCAGTACAGCCCAGTACAGCCGAGGGGACCCTCGGGAGGTGGGAGACAGTGCGGAGACACATTGCTGCAGCTACAGGCGAAGCACGCACACATACTATAAATATATATATATATACACACATATTTTTCTACCCCTACACCATGCACGCATAAAGTATATATGTGATATTTCTGTATTTATGTATGTGCGTATTATAGATAATTCACACATATACTATATAGAGAGAGATACACACACATTATATATACACATCTGTGCTGTACACACTCCTTTTATATATACACACTATGTATATGCACAAATAATTGTTAAATGCACACACATTGCATATGTACTCGGTCTGTACATACAGTATAAATATACGTAAATACAGCATATGTATGAAAATATAATAAACCAAATAAATTATGTAGTCTGTAGACAAACTCACTATAAACTCGCTGGATAGAAAAATACAAACAATATTTTCCCCCAGCACATACAAACCGTATTTTCTCCCAGCACGTACACGCACGCTCTTACACACATACCAATACTCATACACTATATACATACGCAGTAAGAATACATACGATATATACATACAATTTATATTGCATTTATATTGTATATCTGTATATCTATGCACACGCAATATGCATGCGCACTATCTGTACAAATACCCGCTAAATACCCACACTACCCACGCGTATTTATGTTCCTTCTCCTCGCACACATACACCCAGTGCTTGTCTCCTATACACACCCTGTACGTATGTACATCCATGACAATCCTGCCGCCCCGGAGAGCCGTGCCGGGGGCAGGACGGGGCTGCCTTAGTGTCACCCCGGTCCCCAAGTGCCCCCAGCCCCACGATTGGGGGTGCTAAGAAGGTGCCTGCTGGATTTACGCCCCCTCCCCACCCGGCCAGCAGCTCTCCCCTCTCGTCCCGCTGATGATTTAAGCCCACAATTACACGGCGAAGATTTAAGGCTGCCTTTGATTGCTTTTCTTATCTGGAGCGACGAAGCTGCATGCCCTCCCAGTGTCCCTGCTTGAGAGGGGGTGTCCCGCCATTGTGTGGGGACGGTCACCCACTCACCGGCACCCACGGGTGGCCCCTGAGGCCTCACTGAAGCCCCCTCACCCTCCCCAAACGCAGCCTCTGCAGCCCCAGCAGAGCCCCCCCTCAAGCAAACACTCATTTCTCCATCACCCAGAGGACGGCTTTCTATTTTAAGTCCAGCCTCTGCATCTTTCTCCTGCGGCAGGGAGCGTGGGGGAGACAGACAAAGCGGGTCGGCAAGCAAACAGGCGGGGGGGGGGCACCCAAATCCCCCAAATCCCCCAAATCCTGGGAATTTGAGGCTGCTCCACAGCAGCCCAGGTGTTTGCTCCAGCTCGTGCCAAGCAGAGATTCCCCCTTGTAGACAAATCCCCTCCTGCGGATACACTTATAATTGAGTTTCATGCTTAGAAACATATAAGGAATAGAAAAAGAACAATCATTTCTGCCTCCGTTTAATTAGAGAGTAATAGATTTCCCCGCCTAACGTATCTGCAGGGAATCTCGTCGTGATGAGCTACCTACCGACACTGGATTACGCCGAGATTTGCTCCTTTTCAGGGGGGCACTAATTAGCACCGGGTGCCCAAAGGCACGAGAAAGGGTCAAGGATGGAGCTCGGCATCCTCCCACCCCCTCCCCGTGGCCGGGGTGGGGGAGCTGGAGTGGATTTCTCCTGGAAAGGGTTAAAGCATCCCGGCAGGATGGCGCAGCCTTTCCTAAGGCATTAACCCTTCTGCAGAACCCGCCACCAGCCCGGGGGTTGAGTGGGACGTGCCCACACGTGATGGTGACAAGCTCGCGCCCACACAGCCCGGGCTGTCACACGCTTATGGTGTCACCTAAACTGTGGGAAGGCGTCTGGCACCCTTTGCCCAGGACAGCCCCAAAATAAAGAGGATTTCATCATCATCATCCCCACCCCCCGTCCCCAAATCTTTTATCCCAGATCCAAAAATCAAGGAGAAAGAGCAATGACGTGTCCCCCGTGGCGTGGTCACCTCGCCCACTTGAAGGGGTTGTGCCTCGGGGGGGGTCACAGATGGAGTCTGGGGTCCCCGTAGAAGCAGAGCAGCACCTTTCATCTGCTCCGTGGATGCGAGTGGGCAGAACTGGTCCCCTGCAGCCACCCTTGCTCTGCGTCCTCCGCTGGTTCGGAGCCCCCTCACCCCTCCGGGTGGGCTCTGGAGATGTTCAAGCCGGGTTTTACAGCACGGGGAGGGGGGGGCTGATGGATGTCAGCCAGCCCTGCTCCGGGGTGACGGGTACCACCGATATCAACTCCCACGCTGGCCTTGTCCGTGAGAGCATCGCGCCCAAGGCGGGGACAGTGACATCCCCCCACCAGTGCAAAGCAGGTCCAGACCCTCGTGGAGAAAATCCCTAGCTCACCCATCACGCCAGCCCGTCCCGCGGCAGCCGAGCTGCGAGCCCACCCGGTGAACTGTTCTAGACTCAAAATAATCCCCCCCCTTCTCCCTTGCACGGCACTATTTTTAACCCCGAGCCTGTTCACAGCCTGGCCTCGGCGACGGCTGCGTCAGCGCAAGTGTGAAGACAGGGAGCTGCGGCTGGGATGCGGGGAGTTGAAGCTCTCCCGGGGGGGCTCCAGCTCCCCCCCTCTACTCCACCTTCATCTTGCTCAGGGCCTTCTCCAAAAGAGAATCTGGCTTGCTCCGGGATGGAGCTCCTCGCAGTTCTGCAGATGCCTGGGTGCTCCCGAGCTGGGGGGTGATTTGCACCACCTTGCTCCAACCCCAGCGCTGCGGCAAGACGGTTTCTTACCAGAGACACCCCAGTTTGGCCAGTGGCTGAGCGTGGGAGGGGCAGGGAGCAGGGACCCTCTCAGCATCCCTGCCCTGGGTGCCCACCTCTGCCCAAGTGGTCCTGCCGGGCCGGAGGATGGTGGCAGCAGGGTGAATGCTCCATGATTTACTTTTAAAAGCTTTTATGATCAGTTTCTTGCAGGGCAGAGGAGACGGCTCCGGGTGACCCCCCTGTACCTCGACAGGTCACCCTCCTTCCTCCCGGCACCCTGGGCACCCACCCAGCCTCCTTCCCACCCTGCCCCGGCCCCACACCACCCTGCAGCAGGGGCATCCTCCCGCCCCCCGAGACCCCAAAACCTTTCACCCCCTCTCAGAGACAACTCACCCTCCAGCAGCCTCCCCATGGCCTCCAGAAACCGCTCCCCCTCCGCCCTGCCCCCCAGATGCCCCCTGTAAGGGGTGGGCCAGGATGGACCCCCGAGATGAGGAGCTGGGGGGGGGGGGGGTGGCCGGGGCAGAGGTATGGATGCTCCCCCAGCTCCGGGGGTAGAGAGGGGGGGGGGGGGGCCGTGCAGAGGTTTGGATGCTCCCCCAGCTCCGGGGGTAGAGAGGGGGGGGGGGCGCGGCTGGGCTCCGGCAGCAGCTCCGGGGCGGGGGGGGGGGGGGGGGGGAGGCGGGCGGGCGGAGGACGGGCCCCCCCGCAAGCCGCTTTCCGCCAGCGGGAGTGGGTCGGTGCCATGGAAAACAAAAGGGCCCGGGGGACGGGGAGGGGAGGAGAAGCCCGACGAGAGCCGAGGGAACAGGCGATCCCGTTTCCCCCCACTTTCCAGAGGAGCGAGGGCGAGCGGGCTCCGACCCCCTGAAGCTGCCGGTGACGGGGCAGGAGGGACCGGGGAGGGGAGCGGGGGGCCGGGGGGGAGCGCCGCCGGGGCCGGGGGGGGGGAGGAACGGGCTGGCCGGGCCGGGGAGGGAAGAAGGGAGGGCTGGCTGGTTATTCACGGCTCTGGTATGCGGCGTGCCGGCCCTGCTCCCACCGCCCCCGGGCTGCCTCGGCAGCGAGAGGCGGCGGGGAGAGGTAACCGAACCCCCCGGGGGGGGATGCTGGAGGTGGAGGGGGGTGGGATGGGAGGGAGCCGGGCTGGAGGGGTGCTCCGGGATCTCGAAAGAGGGGGGGGGGTGCGCCCCCCCAGCCCGCCTCCCCCCTGAGTCCCCCAGCGCGTCGGTCGGGGTGATGGGGATCTGCCCGTCGGTGGGCTGGGACTGAGACAGGGCACCCCAAAATGAGGCCAGCCAGGGGCTTGAAATGCAGCAGCCAAGGGGACACACCGCGCCACGTCCCATCCCCCCCCTCCATCGCCCCCAGAGCCCTCGGGGCTCCTTCCCCATCCCTTGAACCCCAGTCCTGGGGTCGTTCACCCCTGCAAGACAGGACCCTTTGTATCCCATTTTGCACCCCCCAAAAAGTTGTTGTGCAGGTCTTATTCAGCCTCTCCATTACCAATAAAATGTCTTCCCCCTCCTGCTCTAAATGACAGGGTTGGGGACTGGCAGGAGCAGCAAAACTTGCCTACAAGGCAGAGACAAAGGGGTCTCGCTGCCAGCTCCTCGCAGAGCCACAGTTAACCTCTTCCCTGGTGGGACACAGCTTTCAGACGCCGGGAAGCGAGCATGCAGTCCCCTTTGCAAGGCAAGAGGAAGGGAAGTAAGGAGTTAGCTCAGAAATATTTCGCTCTAAAGACTTCCAGCAGCCAGGGACCCCACACTCTCTTGCTGAGCAAAAGCACTTGAGAAGCTGTTTTTTTTCCACGACATGGAAAAATATGGAGATGGGGGGGTTGGTATGAGGTCCGAAAGCGTGCTGAAAATCTCAACAACTTGATGGTTTAGGGGAAGGCTGGTTGTGAAAGATCTGTGGTTGCTCTGTTTCTTCTAGTTCCAGCCTCAGCAAGGCCCAGCTCCCACTTTTCATCCCAAAGCCTGGGGAAACAGCATCCCGGGGGGTGGTATTTCATCAGAGAGACATTTTCTAGAGGGGAAGGAAAGGGTTTGGGGGGAAGTTCCCCACTTACATAGGTAGGCAAAGGCCCTGATCTTGGTGAGGAAATGCCTTTTTCAGATGAGGAAATATTTCAGACAGCCTTTTCCAGCTGAAATGCTGGGGATAATCACATGGATGCTTCGCTCTTCTACTACTTCCTCTTAGTATTTGCCAAAAAAAAAGCAGATCCTCATCTCGGCTAGACCTGTCCCGTTCATTGCCCCCATCTCTGTTCCCAGGAGGAAGGATGAGGCCCCTGCTCTGCTACCTGGGGCTAGCCACGCTCCTGGGGCCCTGCCTGGCCTGTCCCAGTGCCTGCTCCTGCTCCACCAAGAAGAATGGGCGGCTGTTGGCCGAGTGCGCCTACAAGGATCTGCAGGAGGTACCCAAGGGGTTGTCCTCCAACGTGACCATCCTCACCTTGTCGGCCAACAGGATCGGCTGGTTGGGGCAGGGCGCCTTTGCTGAGGTTCCCGAAGTGCAGTCGCTGTGGCTGGGCTACAACCAGATCGGGCTGGTGGAACCGGGGACTTTTGCCTTGTTGGTGCACTTGAAGAACCTGGACCTGAGCCACAACAAGATCGCAGATTTCCCCTGGCAGGACCTCCGTAACCTCAGCGGTCTGCAGATCCTGAAGATGAACAACAACCGCCTGGCCGGGCTGCCCTGGGATGCTTTCCGTTCCTTGAAGGACCTGCGCTCCCTCTGGCTCAATGACAATGAGTTGACCACCTTGGCCGAGGGCACCTTTGACAACCTGCCCTCCCTGTCCCAGCTGCAGATCTTCAACAACCCCTTCAACTGCTCCTGCAAGGTCTTCTGGCTGAAGAAGTGGACTGAGAACACCTCCGTCTCCATCACCAAGGGGGGGTCTACCCTGTGTGTGGCTCCCGGCAAGCTGAAGGGCAGGGCGGTGACAGACATCCCCGACCACCACTGCGTTGCCCCCTCCGTGCAGCTCACGTACCTCTCCAACCTGGACAACACTGTCATGTACGATGGCCTCACCCTGACGCTGCACTGCAGCGTGGCGGGCAGCCCTCCGCCAGAGATCAGGTGGAAGATCCAGACCGCCAGCCGCCGTGTCGAGATCAACGGGCCCAACGTGGCGCGGGATGGAAACGTCAAGCAGAGCCAAGAGCGCTTCTTGGTCTTCAAGAACGGCACCATGGCCATCCCCAACTTTAGCAAAGAGGATGAAGGCATTTACACCTGCCTCGCTGTCAATGACGTGGGCACGCGGGATGTCTCGGTCAACGTGGCCTTGGCTGGGTCGGAGAATCCAGCTGAAGACCTGCTCCGAGATGACCCCCAAGCCAGCCACCTCGGGGGGCGGAGCTGCTACAAAGGGGATGAAATGGATCCCTCTGGTGCCGGAGAAAAGCTGGTGATCGTTTACCACATGCCAAGGGAGTCCAAGAGCAGGGCTGGAGGAACGGTGCCCCAGGTCCACCTGGGGACCCTCCTGCTGGCTTTGGGCACCGTGCTCTGCTGTTAAAGGGGAGAGAAGGAAACGGTGCCTCGGGGGTTCCCCCTCTTTCTGTAGCATTTATCTTCACGTAGTGCCATGCCTTTGCTGAGCTTCTGGGAACTGCGGGCGGTCAGGAGTCAAAGGGGGCCAAGACTCAGGCCCAGGGCTGGTAGTTCAACGCCCCCTTAGATGGGGGTCAGGGTTAGTCTCCGTTAGTTGAGAGCTTCGGACAAGCTCGGGTGATGTAGAGCAGATCCTCACCGTGCTGCCACTTTCCAGGCATTCAAAGCTGCCACCTCCTGACTTATCTCCCTCCCGAGGCCAAAGTGCGTCTGCAGGATTAAAGGCCACCCTCAACAGGGTGACCATCACCCATCCCCAGGGCACCTCTTGCAAACAGGATCCCATCGGCCCAGCGCCACCAAAGGTGACATCCCCCCGCCGCGACCAGCACCCAGGCCCTTGGCTGGCCAGGCGCATCCTTCCTACCACCAACCTCGCGTGAAGCACTGGGAGCAGAAGGAACAGGCTGAGAGTGGGGTAACAGACTGGGCACAGGCTCCTGGGGTTCCCAGGGCACGTGGCTCTTGGGGGGGGACAGAGACATGACGGTGCTTGGTAAGCAGGATGGGTGCAGTAGGACGTGCTGGATGGGGCCATGGCCGTTTTGTGGAGTAGGAGAAGCTTTCCCACAGGCTCCCTCCTTGCAGGAGCGCAAAGGGCTCCCTCTGGCCGGGTGCTGGGAGCACCCAGGGTGCCTGCACTCTCCCTGCATGTTGCAGGATCAGGCCCTGCCACCCTCAGTACCTCTCCCAGACGTGATGCAGCTGATTTTCCCCTCCATACCCACCCCCCTTTCCCTTTACCGCTGAAGCCTGCGGTCCAAAACACTCGGCTGGGCTGGACCCCCCGAGCGGCACTGCTCCGGCTCTGACCCTGGCGGGGAGGGATTGAGCCCAAAGAGACTAAAATAACTTCCCAGCACTCTTCTCTGACTGGAAACCGAGCGGGGGCTGCATGATCGAGCGGGAGGAAGAAAGATTGGGAAAACCCAGACGACAGAGAGAGAAGCTGAGCTGACCAATAAGCCATAAACACGCTCCTTAAGTGCTTTAGCATTCCCACATGGGACATTTATACCCTACCTGGCTGCCCCAGGGTGCTGGGGAACCCCTTGTCTCGTGGCAGGGGTCTGAGCATCTCCCCCACCCCAAGGCACAGGCGGTCCAGCTCTCAAGTCTTCTGCCAGCGCTTGCCTGTGGGAGCTGGATGGACCCCTACAGCCACCCTCGCCTTATAACCAAAGCTGTATAGACAGCAATAAATATCTTTTTTTTTTTTTAAAAAAAAAAAAAAAAAAAAAACAAAAAAAAAAAAACCAAAAAACACCAAGCTGCTGCGTGCTGCCTCTGTGCACTCCCCAAATCCCCCAGACCCAACGTCATCTGGGGTACCACAGCTCATCACGAACCCTCTTTACTCAGGGGCCTTTCCCCCCCCCAGCTCCCCCAAAGCCTGTGCTATAGCATCCCCCCACGATGAACCTGGAGGGAGGACACGTTTATGGGCTACCCAAAAATCCCCCCCACCGCTGCTTGCATCAGGGAGGCAGCGATGCCAAAATAATCAGCTGAAAAGCAGCTGTCCTGGAGCCTCAACCCTCCGCACAAGCTCTCTAACCCCGCAATTCGGTGTCCAGCCAGCTGGCAGGGTAAGGAAAGGGACAGCCGAGGAGCTGCCATACAGCAACGCCGTCCGGGTACGGCGCCGAGGTCTCCGCGGGGGTCTCGAGGCAGAAGCAGCCAGCAGCTCCTCGCACGAACGGCCTTTGATGTTTAACAAGCAGGCGCATGCTTTTCCCATTACAGGCAGAACGGTTGAAAAACATCACGGCCCCAACGAGAGTTTCGGTTTCATTTTGTGAGATACAACTTTTAACATCAATTTTATCCCAGCCGGGGTCCTCCCTTCCCTGTCCACTTGGGAATAGGCAGGTACAGGAGCTTATTCCTGCAACCTCGACTGGGAACAGGGTTTGGAGCCTGGGATAAGGATAAAAAATAAGATTTAGGCTCTCAGCAGCCCTAAGCCATGCCTGAAAGTCTCTGCTCAACTTGCAGAGCTGCTGTTCCCCTCAGCTTTACTGGCGCGTGGCTGTTTTGTCGCCAGAAAGGTGAATTCCTCTGTGTTCGCCAAGCTTACTCATCGCTTTTATGGCAAATTATTAACGATATTAAGCATCACTCATTCATAACAAACAGGGCACCCAGCCATGCGGCTCCTGGGTTGGATGCTGCAGGCGATATCGCACTGGGCATTATCACCCTGAGCCATCACGGCCACAACCCCCATCAGCTCCTCTCTGTCCCTCACATTTGCCAAGCCACAGCATGACTTGGACCTGAATTTCCATTCCTCACCCAGGAAACTATTCATTAAGGGCTTCTTTTCAGACAGATCAGCTCCCTGAACCACCTCACCATCAGTTGGTGGAGGGGACTGTGGATGCACATGGGCAGAGCTATCCCGTGGCCATACCGACGTTGGGGGTTTAGAGGAGAGGTGAGAAGCCACGATGAAGAAGAAGAGCTCAGTTCACCCCCAGGACACCCTGCTTATGTCAAAGAAGGGAAAGAAAACAAGCAAATTGATGAAGCCACCTCCTGTCTTCCTGCCAGGGCTGTCATCTCTCACTTCAGCCTCAGCCTGCTGTCTGCCAAGACAGCTCCAGGAAGCCTTGGGCAGGGCAGTGTAAACAGATGCTGAAATCCATCTCCACCCATGGTCCAGAGCTGCCAAAGATTTGAGGGATTACCAAGGCTGCCTTCAAAGCCCCAGGGCCTTGGAGGCTGGAGATGGGTTGGGATGGGCTGCAAGGGAAAGGTGCAGCCTTTGCTTTAGGGCATCTCTTCACCTCGATAAATGCAGGACATCCAGCACCCGCCAGCACCACATCTCTCCTGTGCTCAGCCAGGCAAACCCAAGCACAGCCCGGGGCTGGGAAAATTGCACTTCGGGCTCCTGCTGTCTTAGAAAGAAAACATCCCAGCTCTGCCTCCGGTGCCACCGCTGTCACCCGGTTTGGTGACATTGCACTATGTGCCAGACAGTAATCCAACATGATTAAAACAGCGCTGTTTTAATCGGGTTTGATTAGTGGGCAGTGGATGTGGCAGAGTTTTGAGCATCCAAGCGTACCGGGTGGCTGTTGGGGCAGCACCTGAGGGCAGCAGATGAAGGCAGGGACCCCTGTTTCTTTGCTGGGCTAGAAAGGGAGGGGGTCGGGCTCCTGGGAAAAGGGATGGCTCCCACCCAGGGAGCCTCAATGTTGTGGAGAGGTGCCAGGACACTCCAGGGAAACCCCAAAGCACAGGGGTGCTCGCTCACTCCCAAACCACACCGACAGTGCCCCAAGAGCCCCGGCAAGAGGGCACGGCATCCTTGAAAGCCTGTGAGGAACAGGGCTGCACCCCCAAGGAGCTCAAACCCCATTGAGCAGAGGGGCTGACCCTGCTCTGTGCAGGGTGGGCTGCAAAGTCTCAAAGGTGCCTGCTTTAGCGGCTCGAGGTGGGGTCAAGAAGAGTAAGGAGCCACCCGTACAACTTACCAAGAGCCCTGCCTGCAGTTGCAGCGCTGAACCCACTGCGCGCAGGCTTTTCAAGGGACACATCGTGGGAAAGAGGTGATCCAGCAACACCTTGGGCACTTACCTTTGGTGGTTTAGCCACAAGGTGTCCTGTTTCAGTTCCCATCCTTCAGGGGACCTGTGGTTTTGGGGCCGAATGTTTTGATGGGAAAGTAAACTGATCGGCTTTGCCCTAAAATTTCCCTAAGGTGGGGAGGGGGATCGCAGATTGGATCCCATCATGTCCAGGTCAAGCAGCTCTATCGCAGAGCCTCTGCTCCGCGTGGTCAGAGCAAGGTCAGTCCCAACCATCACCCGGAGATGTGGCTACGATGCTCCTCATATCCCTCCTGCCAGGTCTGACTTCTTTGGGAATGGCCCAGAGACCAAGCACACCCCGAACGTAGGAATGAGGTATGTGATTTATTAACCTTCCCCAAGTCAGCACGTCCAAGCAAGGTGTAAAACTGCGGTCTGTGTGTTCAAGCTCAGCTCGCTCGGAGGGTCACCAGCCTTGGGGAACCACTGGCTTTAAACAAAACAAGGAGTGGCAGCAAGAGGCACTGGGGGGCATGATGAGAGTTACAGGGAACAGAAAACAAATGGCTCCGCAACCTCACAGCCCAGGGCAGGAGATGGGGATTTTAGCCTTCAGAAAATTGGGGAAAAAAAATGTCCCAGGGTTAAGTACAGTGGCCAGGGGGAGCCAGGGTCAGACCTGAAAGGGAGAAGCTGGGAATGGGGTTGGCAGCAGGAACCTTCTCCGCAGGGAGACCATGCTGAGATGCAGGTAGTCCCTCGTGCTCGGTCTGACTGAAAATCCCTCCACACACACAAACACACACCTCCTCCCTCTTTCCTTACTGCCCTGGTGCTGGGGACTTGTGCCTGCCTTGCCACGTGTCGGAAAGGCAACTGTTGAGGACTGGTGGGTTCATTGCAGGAGTGACTCCTAAGGTGTTTCTGAGATGTCTGAAGGGTTTAGCTTGGCTCATCAACCCCTCTCCGTCCAGGTCAGGCTTGGAGGTGACCCATTTGTCTTCACCTCTGGACCTTGGCAGTGGCTCAGCATGGACTCAGGGCTCAAAGCCAGCCCACGTCACCACTGGTGAGGGACCGGAGGCTGGAGAGGGGCAAGAGGTGCCCAAAACTCCTGCCAGCACAGGAGGAGAGTCAATGGGAGACAGGGATGGGATAGGACAGGAGTGTGGGTGGGAGGCAGAGGGAGGTGGGGGTCTTCTCTGGAGGTCAGGGCTTGCGGGGGCTGAGCTGGGTGCCGTTGGCCGTGGGGTCGGAGAGGGCGGTTTTCCGGCAAGCAGTGAGCGAGGGGTTGTTGAGGAGCGTGTAGGCCAGCCACCAGCGGGCTCGGCTCTGCTTGAACCTGGCTCTGCTCGGAGGCGCCTTCTTAGGCTGCATCAGCTGGATGCCTGGAAGGAGATGGAGAGGGGACACACACACACACACACACACACACACAATTTCAGCCCCAGCTCCCCCTCGCTGGGGCTGCCCAGATGCCACCTCCACCCCGGGGCAAAAGCAGAGGAGCCCCATCCTGCCCGTGCACAGGCAGAGGAACGGGAACAGCTCCTGGGAGGGAGATGATCACGTACCAAGCAGAGGTGGCATAAAAATGGAGAGGGCACCAGAGCCACAACCCTCAATGGTCCCTTTACCCCAAGGCACCACCAGCATCGCGAGAGGAGCAGCAAACCCACAGAGGAGACCCCGATGCCACCCCATAACGATGGCCATGCATCCCCCCCAGTTGGCAGTGGGAAGGTCTCACCTTCTTCCAGGTTGCTGGCCCGGAGCCCCGGCGGCCCCTCTGGCCTGGCTAGCTGGAGAAGCATCAAGCAAAAAGCCTTCATCACCGGGTGGGACTGGCTGACCTCGATTTTCAGATAGTGGCAGTAAGTGTGGTAGCCTGGGGGAACACGGCCCACAGTAAACGTGTGTGGTGGGGCCAGACCTCATGGTTCCCTCCTCCCTCCTGCCCCGGGGAAAAGGGGAGGGTTAGTTTCCAGGCTCCATCTCCTCCGTCTCTGCCCTGGATGAGCTCTGCTCCCAAAACCCCAGCAGGAAAAGCAGTGGAAGGGCTGAGCTCTCCTCCCTCCTGCCTTTAGTACAGGAGACATGAGGGTCCGTTGCCTGTGGGATGAGGGTCTGGCCACTGGTGAAGCCCAGGAGTCCCCAGCAAGGCATCGCCCGCCCTTGGGAACGGGTGGGCAAGCAGGACCAAGGGAGCATCAGGAAGAGCCACGTTGTCCCACCTGCCCGTTTCTGAACAGAGCATGGTCACCAGAAGCCACCCTTGGACCTGGCAGCTCCAGGGATGCAGGGACCCCCTGGCCATGTCCCCTGAGAACTCCATGATGGGAGAAGGGCCCCCTTACTCATGGAGGTGGTGCAGAGGGACCTCCCCGGTGCCCTACCCGGGTCAAAGGTCTCCACGCCACGGTTAAGCAGGCTGATGTCCAGCTGGCAGAAGTGGATGGCGTTATAAAGGCCAGAAATGACCATCCTCCACACCCCGGCCAGGACACCCACTAGGACGTTGATGAGGAAGAGCAAGTAGGTGACTATGTAGAGAGCTCGCCTGTGGGTGGAGAAGGAGGAGTAAGGAACACAAACACCACAGGATGGGAAGCACGGCCCTTCCCTGCCAAAGACACCTCCTGCCAAAATAATCTTCCCACCCTTCCCTCCCTCCTCAGCAGACACGATCCC